CCTCAGCAATAAACTACCACGTCCTCTACCTCCACCAGGACCAGAAAGGGCCAGCAATCTGGCTTGGATGGGCCTCACGTCATTCGGATCCCGCCCGGTGAGCTTGCGAATATTCTCATCCACGTTCTTTAGGCTCTCTTTGGCCTTTTCTAGCTGCTCCTGCAAAGTTCTCACTGCGACCGCCATCTTCTCCCCGCTACAGGCTTCGAGACTGCTCTCATAAATATGACTTTTTAATATCTTATTATTATTTATATTCCATTTCTTTAGAATATAAATTTCATGAGTATATAGATATTTCCTTCGCCATTGAATTCAAGAAAACTAAAGTTGTATTTGGCCCATAGTAAGCCCTAAATGACTATTTCAATAATCTATGAACAAAGAGAAATACATTATTTACCCAAAGCATATTTTTCATTGACTCTTAAGTGAGCTAATACAGCTAACTTGTTCATCTAGGAAGTGACCCCTGTCTTTCCATCCATAACAGCTAAGGTTGCTGAGACCATGGTGAGAGGGAACCAGACCACTACAGTGACAGAGTTTCTCTTCTCTGGATTCCCCCAGTTTGAAGATGGCAGCCTCCTCTTCTTCTTCCCTCTGTTCATAATCTACATATTCATTGTTATTGGGAACCTCACTGTGTTTTTTGCAGTCAGGATGGACAGCCGTCTCCACAATCCCATGTATAACTTCATCAGCATTTTTTCATTTCTGGAGATCTGGTACACCACTGCCACCATCCCCAAAATGCTCTCTAACCTCGTCAGCAAGCAGAGGACCATCTCCATGATCGGCTGCCTCTTGCAGATGTACTTCTTCCATTCCCTGGGGAATTCGGAGGGGATTTTGCTGACCACCATGGCTATCGACAGGTACGTTGCCATCTGTAACCCTCTCCGCTACCCCACCATCATGACCCCCCGGCTCTGTGCTCAGCTCTCTGCAGGCTCCTGTGTCTTTGGCTTTCTTGTGTTACTTCCAGAGATCGCATGGATTTCCACACTGCCCTTCTGTGGACCCAACCAAATCCATCAGATATTCTGTGACTTTGGACCTGTGCTGCACTTGGCCTGCACCGACACCTCTGTGATTCTGATTGAGGACGTGATCCATGCAGTGACCATCATCACCACCTTCTTAATCATTGCCCTATCCTATGTAAGAATTGTCATTGTAATCCTGAGAATTCCCTCTGCTGAGGGAAGGAGAAAGGCTTTTTCTACCTGTGCAGGTCATCTCATGGTCTTCCTCTTGTTCTTTGGTAGTGTGTGCCTCATGTACTTGCGTTTCAACATCACTTATCCACCAGTTTTGGACACAGCCATTGCACTGATGTTCACTGTATTTGCCCCCTTCTTCAATCCCATCATTTATAGTCTGAGAAACAAAGATATGAAGAATGCAATTAAAAAACTTTTATGTCCCCAAAAATCGTTGAACACATCTGCAGGGTAATTCTAAGCCAGTTTCTCTTCGATTATTTTGAAACCTAAAATTATGTGTTATTACTCTATGCCTAGTTTTTGTCACATGGAAATTCTGTCATTCTGTTTATTTCCCCCATTTCTAGAAAAACATTTATATTCTTGTGTCACTTGTGTCATTTTCATTCTTGTGAAACTTACTGTGTATATCATCAGAAAACCTATGATGTATTTGAACAAGTATAATTTTTTTTCTTAGGAACATTGCAATTAAAGAAAAATTGTTTACCATTTCAGAGGATTAGAACTACAGGATTTGTATCTCAGAAGCTAATCATGTATGCTGAAGAATCATTCTATTTAGGAAACAGATTTGGGAAAAGCTTTTTGTTTAATTACGGAGCATGGATTACCTAAATGTGTTTATCTGGATATCAATATCTAAGAAAAAGCCAAAATGATATTTGCTATAGTTTTATTTTTAATACTTTATTATAGTTACCTCCTTATTATAATAATAATCATATATATTTAATAAAATTAGATTATTGATATCATCAGGCACATTTAAGAAAAAGCTGCAATGTCAAACATTATTTACAGCAGTACATTTTGATCCACACAAATCTGAATTTTAGCTATTGTTTGCCTTTTCAGGGCTAAATACCTTCACTTTCTTCATTTACGGTCAAGAATCTTCAATGTATCCATTGAATGGTAGTTTCAAAAAAATAGGATTCAATTGGCTTTTTGATTGATTGCTCTGACATTTTCCTCATTTCATATTTTCTGTGATTGTGCTAATTTAATTCTCTATCTTAATTTATTCATATCCATTTAAATTATATTTTTGAATATAAGAAAAAATTGGTTTGAAGATAGCAGTTTTATTTCATGTTTAAATTTTCTTCTTTAATAAGTCCAATTAGATCACCAAATCCAAGGTCATATTAATTTTTTAGAGACTCTAAACCCAGAACTTACAATCATGGCAGTAATTCATTATTGAGTTATCTGACAGTGGTCATATCAGTATGTGAACACAAACACTTCAATAATACAATAGTTCCCAATATATATCACATTAATATCTCTAGAAACAAATGAAAAATAAAACTATACATCCTGAGAAACAGGGTAACTTCAATAGACAAAATTTAAATACTTTTCTTAAGCCAGAGTGTAACTTGATGGGGGTTGCAGAGTTGGAATTAATGAATATCTAGAATATTTGTAGCTACAAAATAACTTGCCTAGATATTTTCCCTTAGTCTCCACCTGGTAGATGATCTGGTGTAGGACTGCACAACCAACAGAATAAAAATAAGTAGTGATTCATAATAAACCTTTACTATATTCTTGTTTGATTGTTTGTTTGTGACAGAGTCTCACCATGTCACCCTTGGTAGAGTGCTGTGATGCCATAGCTCACAACAACCTCAAACTCTTGGGCTTAAGTAGCTGGGAGTACAGGTGCCCGCCACAGCACCCAGCTATTTTTGGTTGCAGCCGTTGTTTAGCAGGCTTGGGCTGGCTTGAACCTGCCAGCCCCAGTGCATATGGCTGGTGCCCTACTCACTGAGCTACAGGAACTGAGCCAACTATATCCATTTTTTTTCCATAAGAATTTGAACTCTAATCTAACAAGGAAATTATTAAAATTAAAGGGTTGCTAATACATTTTGAGGGGTGGAGAAGGCACAAACCTGGAAGGACAAGCACATCTAGTTTTCCCTAGAAATTATAGAAAGGCTCTTTTCTTGCAGTAAGATTACATAGAAATGGAGGAGCCTTTGCAAATATTGAGGGTTGCCTTGCAATCAGCTAAATCTATGGTAGTTAAAAAAACTTCGTTTGACTTCATGCCCAACACAAAAATTAATCCTCTTTGAGGAGAATATTCACATTCTCATTTTCTCTAAAATTCAGCATAAACAATTTCTTTAATCAAAAAATTACCATAGAATGTTTATACAAAACCATATAATGAAATACCAAGAGCAAAAACAGGTAATAGAAAGAGACTTACAAGAGATTGACATATTAGTGTTATCAGATGTTAACTTTAATTTGGTATTATTATATTTTTAAAAAGATAAAATCAGTAATTTAAGCAGAAAATTGACATCTAAAAATTTAAATGAAATGAATACAAATAATAATGTAATGATGAAGACTAAAAAATGAATAAATGTTAAGAGCAAATTAGCCACAGGCAAAGAAAGGACTAGAGAACTAGAAAATTGTTTTGCTCCAAAGAAAATTTCAGAATAAAGCATGGAGATATTAAAAAAAAATTAAAAACACATATATAGAAAATCAAAGTACACGTGAAAGACATAAAAGGTTTTCAAGAAAAATTAACAGAAAGAGGGGAGACAGTCGAACCAAAACAATGTTTGAAGCAACTGACAAAATATTTTCCAAAACTGACATCAAGAAAAATATTTACAAAGTCCCAAGAAACAAAAATAGGACACAAAAAGCATATCATATGTTAACACTTATTAAAAAATCAAAAGCAAAGAGAAAATCATAAATGCATTGGGGTAAAGGTGCTTAGGATATATTATTTTCAAAAAAAGCATTTTGAGAGCTGTGTTTTAAACAGATTGGAAGCTACAACAACTGTTAAGAGAGATTCTTGTACATAATAAAAATATTCTTCAAAGATGAGGATTAGATAAAAACATTGTTAGTCATGCAAAAATATGGGAACTTTTTAAAAAAAATCAGAACTACATAAAAGATTATTTTTTAAGCAGAAGGGAAAAGATTTCAAAGCACAAAATAGCAATGTAAAAGAAAATAAAGAGCAAGAGGAAAGATAAAGTGATGGGGATAGGCTCTTTTTTTTTAAAAATTAAATGATAGCTGTGTACATTAATGTAAACATGGGGTACAGTGTAGTGTTTTCATATACAATTTGAAATATTTTCATCAAACTGGTTAACATAGACTTTGTCATTTACTTAGTTATTGTGTTAAAACATTTATACTCTAGTTCTAAAAAAATTCACTTGTACCCTTGTAAGACAGACCATATATATAGGTGATCTTTCCAATCACCCTCCCTCCACCCATCCGCCCTTCTCCCCTCCCCTCCCCCCCAACCCCCCGGAGATAGGTTCTAAGAATGTATATGAGTAGCTGAGCAATTTCATCAGTGTGAAAACATCATAGAGTGTGCTTACACAAACCTACATGCTCCTAGACTGCAAATCTGTAAAGCACGTTACTGTGCCTAACACTGTAGGCAGTGGTAACCCAATGGTAAGTATTCATATGTCTAAACATATCCAAACATAGAAAATATACAGTAAAAATATAAAATGGCACCCCTGAATAGGCCACTTACATAAATGGAGCTGGGGCTTTCAAGACTACAAGTTGCTCTGGGTGGGTGAAGTTAAAGGCCCGGGGCCATTACCGTACACCACTGTAGAATTTGTAAAGACTGTACTCTTAAACTACACTAAATTTATTTTAAAAATATAATTTTCAATCTTCAGTAACAAATTTTAGCATACTGTTACAACCATAACATTTTTCCCTTCTAAACTTATTAATGTTTTTTATTACTGACTCCTTTGTAATAACATTTAACTTCAGACAAAATCACATTGTATAGCTATATGATAAAGGTGCCCTTTCTAAATATCTGTATCGTATAAGTTCTTTAAAAATTTGTCCTATGTCTTAAACAGTTTTGTTAAAAACTAATACACAAACACACACTAGATTAGCCCTGAACACTGTCAGGTTCATCAAAACCACTTCTTCCACCTCCACATTTTGTTCCACGGAAAGGTCTTCAGGGGCAATCGCAATTTTGGCACTGCCATCTACTATAATAGCAATGCTTTCTTCTTGAGTACCTCTTGAAGGACCTTCCTGGGTTGTTTTACAGCTAACTTTTTTTATAAGTAGAAATATACTCTAAAATAATAATAAGAAACAGAGAATAACCAATAATGAGGTCATATCATTATCATGTATTATGAACTATGCATTATCATATGAGATCATCATATATATATCCAATCTGCCAGTGACTGAAAAGTCATTCTGACTCTATGTGGATTATATACATAAATTTTAAGTAAAACAATAATAAAATATGCTGTGAGAATTAAAATATGCAAAAGTTTACAATCATAATATAAAATATGTAAGGAAGAAAAATTTAGTTAAAGTATTCTAATGTATTTGAATTATCTTGAATTTTCTTAAAATACTAATTTATATTAGTTTTAGATAAATCCATGAGTATGTTTTTAATATCTAAGATTGCTAAAGTTTTGGTAAAAAAAGATATAACCATCTAATAGTTGGGAAATATAATATTAAAAATAAGAACACAAGTAATGTCTTCAAAAGACGTAAAAAGACAAAAATACATATAGAAGATAAGAATATATTTTCTACTTATTACATTCAAAGTAATTGAACTAATGTTCCAATTAAAAGATAAAAATTTTCTGACTCAGTAAAAACATTTAGTGCCACTCTAAGAGGCAGGGTTTAAATCAGTGGTTCTCAACCTTCCTAATACCTCCTAATGCCACGACCCTTTAATATAGTTCTTCATGCTGTGGTGACCCCCAACCATAAAATTATTTTCATTGCTACTTCATAACTGTAATTTTGCTACTGTTATGAATCGTAATGTAAATATCTGATATGCAGGATGTATTTTCATTGGTCATGACCCACAGGTTGAGAACTGCAGCTTTAAATATGTGAATATGGAAATATGGGAAGTAAAAGACAAATTTTAGACCATGCAAATATTCAACAAATTGATATAACTATACTAATATTCAAACAAAGTAAATTTAAAGCAAGTATTGTTGAAAATGAAAAGGAAGCTACACTAATGATACAGCTGTCAATTCCCCAAGATTCAGCAATTCTGTATTTGCATGTTTTAAATAACATTGATTTAATGTTTGAAGACAAAAATTAATAGAATTAAAAGGGGTAATAAAGAAATTCACAGTAACAATAAAGGTTTGAGAAACAGGTTAG